TCCGGTGCACATTTAACAGCACAGTTTTCTGTGAAGAGGTATGTTTCGAGGTGGGGGTATTTATACCCTTTCCCCTTGCTTCTACTGTGTATCCTTGCTCATTTGAACAGTTGAGAAGCACTTGAGAGTGTGAGAGAAAGCAAGGGCCCTAGTGAGGATTTGAGATTTGCTAATCCATAGAGTGGACTCCTCATTAGTGAATTGAGAGCAACAAGTGTGCACCCACTCATCTCATTAGGCTTGTGTGAGTCAAGTGAGAGTTCTAGCTTGTTACTCTTGGTGTTCGACAGCACCTAGACGGTTTGGTGGTGTTGAAGAGCTTGAAGATCATCCGGAGGCGATTGTGGATGACTCAAGCCAAGTTGTGATCGGTTGTGAGCGATTCACCGAGCCGGAGCGGCGAAGAATCAGCCCGTAGAGAGCACTTAGTCTTTGCGCGGACTAAGGGGGAGCAATACCCTTGCGCGGGTGCTCCAACGAGGACTAGGGGGGAGTGTCGACTCCTCGATACCTCGGAAAACATCGACGAGTCATCTCTTGCCTTCTCTCCTCCTAGTTTTACATTCAAGCATTACATTCTTGCAAATCACTTGTTTCTTGCTATGCTTGCTATGATATCATGCTAGGTTGGTAGTTCTAGTGCCAAGTTCCTTAATACACACTTGTTTAAGCACTCGGAGGTAACTGGCTTTTAGTTCTAGGTTTAATTTTTGCTCTAAAATTTAGAGAAGCCCAATTCACCCCCCCTCTTGGGCATATTGATCCTTTCAATGACTCATGAGTCATGACTGTGTGGAGAGTGGAGGATGCATGTGGGGTTTATTCGAAGAAAAAATTCTGTCCGAACAAACTAGCTTAGCACGTACTGGTACTGGTAGTGTACGAGGAAAGAGAGGACCGCATTCCATTCCATCCCATACGAATCTGGAACAAAAGAAAAGGAAAAGAAATGTTCGCCCTAATCCGGGTGCACCAAACGGGAATCCATTCCTCATCATGGCGGCTAATAAGCCATCATGAAGATGAAGGCAGTGCATGTTAGAATGATCTCCTAACCATAGAAGACCCAACGGCTTTCTTGGGCCTTGACTTGTGCCCTGATCGGGAGCGCCTAGCCTATCTATGGCTAGAGGGCCCCCGTCACCCTACGCTATAAAGAGAGGTGGGGGTCGGTGGCTCAAAGTACGAGGTTCGCCTGAGCCGCACTCCCCACCGACAAAACCCTAACCCGATCTTTAGAGGGGCGCAGCCAAGTGACGGAAAGCACCTCCGCCACCACTGCATCGCCCCGTCTTCCTCACCGGACTTCACTGCGTCACCTCTCAGATCTCTAGGAGTACATGTGCGCAACCTCCATCAACGTTCGTGATGGCGGCCACCGGCTCCAGCTCCAATGCTCCCGCTCCTCCCTCGGATGGTCTGTACACTCCGTATCACTCCTCTCTCTTTCTACCTCTCAGATCTCTAGGAGTACATGTACTAGGACTTGTATATACCTAAAGTTAAACCTGAACCCCACTGATCTACCCTAGGAGATCCTAAGTGTTTTTAACGGTGCAGTGCCCCCACCCCACACATCGCATCATAGAATTTCTTTCTTTCGCCTGATGGCCTCCCAAGTCCCAACTCACCCAATCTTTCTCTTTTTTTTCACTTTCCCACTCCTCTCGCTTAATCTATTGCTCACTTTAACCATATCACCAAAGCCTCCTGTCCTGAACAGGCAGCCGCCTGCCCAAGTTTCCTCTTATTCCCCGGCCAAGACCTGTGATTCTGTTCGTGTACTGACAGTGCGTGTCGTCTGTCTGCACAGCAGCAGCTTCTGCAGATGCAGTGAGTAGGAGAAGAGTGATAGCAGCAGCAGCAGCAGCAGCTGGCCAGCTCGCTTTACACACACTCGTTCCTGAATCAGCACACTCGTGCCTACTGCCTCGCTGCCTCGCTGGGAGCCAGAGCTCAGACCTCAGAGACCGGAGCTGAGAGCTGAGCAAGCTTGGCATGGCTCTGAGGCCAGTCCATGGCTTGGCGTCTCTTCTTGTACTCCTCTCTTGCCACTGCCATGGTGAGTTACTGTACTTTGGCTGCTGGTGCTGTTACCTGTCATGTAGGTGCGTGCCTGCGTTACTTGCTAGTACTAGCTTCGATTTGAACACCAAAGATGGATGGTTTTTGGTTGGAGATCTCATTGTCTTTTGCCTGCTTGTTTAGCCACTTTATTTGAAGCTGACGAGCAGTCGAGCAGAGTGTCATGTCAGTACGTCGCAGCAACAGACAAACACACACTTTATCCTACCAGGAGTATTAACTAGGAGTACCAAACAAACATCTGCTTTCTATTGTTTGTTCTGCTTATTAGTCAGTATCCAAATATTGGAGGAGATCAATCAAATGAAGGACAAGACGAGAGCTTTCGTTCGTCCAGACGCTGCTGAAAAAGATGATGATGCTTTGGTTTGGTTTGGTTCACGCTGCAGGGGGGCGAAGCGAGCAGGGAGGAGACCTGCCAAGGCTGGAGCGCGACGTGACGTCGCCCCTGGCCACGGTCCCGGTAGTGAACCCGACGGCGATGCCCACCGCGACACCGGCGATGCCGTCTCTGGCCACTGGCGCTGGTGGCGGGAGCTGGTGCGTGGCGAGCCCCAGCGCGAGCGCGACGGCGCTGCAGGTGGCGCTGGACTACGCGTGCGGGCAGGGCGGCGCGGACTGCTCCGCCATCCAGCAGGGCGGGAGCTGCTTCAGCCCGGACACCGTCCGCGACCACGCGTCCTACGCCTTCAACAGCTACTACCAGAAGAACCCCGTGCAGACCAGCTGCGACTTCGCCGGCACCGCCGTCCTCACCACCGCCAACCCAAGTAAACTCTCCACCCCTGAACACGTCAAGATCAAAGCAACCTCTTGTTCTGCAATCTGCATAGATGTGCACTCATTCGCTTCTTTGTTTGCAACTGCATGCGCAGGTACTTCGACGTGTCAGTATCCAGCAACGAGGTAAATTCTACCAGCTCAAGCCAATACAAAAAAGAAACTTTTTTTACTCTAAAAAGAAATACACGAAACATAGCTACAGGTGCTGATTTCTGTCGTTTCTGGTGAACTGACAGCACCGGTGGTTCGGTCCTGAACACGTCGACTCCGCTGACGCCAACGTACGGGTCTCCCCCCGGGTACGGGAGCTCTCCACCGGCCGGATACGGCAACTCCCCTCCACTGTACGGGAACATGTCGCCGCCGGACTACGGCGACAACATCAGCGCCGCCGTGAGGGCATTGCCCGGGCGCAGGGTGACGACGGCCGTCGTGTCTTTGGCGACTACGTGCCTCCTGACCGCAGCACTGTCACTGACGGTGAGCGGCTGAACCTGCACACGCAACAAAAGTTCCAAGCCGCCGCGTTGCCCCCGCCGCAGGTTCGGCTGCAGAATGGCAGCTCATCATCAGGTGCCGACCGTGATGTCTTGAAAAAGCCTGAAGGCGGAGCCGAGACAAGCATGTACCGATGCAGCAGAGACTACAGAGGTACGTACATGTACACAGGCAGATCTGAAGAGCAAGATGGAGACCAGTGACGCTGTGCCTCTGCCCTCTAGCAGAAATGCTGCGGTGTTGCTTGCCCTTGTACAGATAGACTCATATACACAGTGACGGTTATGATCTTTGGAATCCCCTCCAACTCCAACTCGATCCCTCCGAATAGGGCATGATTTGATTTGAGAGCTCCTACGTAAGTGCTCTTGTGCTTAGAGCTAGTTTGGAAGAGCCTCGGCTTCATAAAAGCAACTTCACTGCACCTACTTTACCATAGAGTAGCTGCACAATAAATCTAAGCTCTTAGAAAACTGTTTCAAAAAGCTCTAGCATGAAATCTAAATTCACATGTAATTATAAAAGATTATTCAGAAACTCAAATAAAAAATAACGTAATTCCATATGTCATCCTCCTCCATGCCTACTCGAACCGCCCCACGCGGCCATGGCCTGCCCGAGGCGGAGTGCGGCCATGGCTTGGCCGACACGAGGTCAAGGAGGGCATCACGGTGGCGGGGGCGAGGGCGGGCGTGACCACGGAGTGGTAGGGGCCAGGCATTGGGTTAGGGGGCAGCACGGCGAGGCCGAGGAGCAACGGGGCCAGGGCCGGCCGTGGCCACGCCGCACCAGACATGGCGTAGTCAGGGAGGAGCTGGGCACGGCGGCGGCAGCGGGGAGGGTTGCGCGATGGAAAGAGGCGCCAGGATGATTGCACGATGGGAAGAGACAAAAGAAAGAAAAGTCGAACCAGTGCATTGTGTAACGAGTTGCACATGTGGTGGATAATTTCTTTCAACTCCACGAAATAGAAGTTTTCAGAGCGCCTCTTGAGGAGCTCAATGGATTTCATGGATCTAGGAGCTAAGGCGGCTAAAAAATCTTGCCTCATGCAGTTGGGGTGTGTGGTGTGGTGGTGTGTGTGTGTGTGTGGGGGGGGGGGGGGGGGGGGGGCATTGTTTAAGTAACAGTCTCGCTTCACGTTATATACTGCCCATAGACACATGTCGTGAATCTACAACCATTCCCACAGAATGTTTTTTCGTCTCACCCACTCCCACTTATCCTTGGTCTCGCTTGCATGAGGTCAACTGCATAAGCCAAGCTCGCGCCGTCGTGCCATCTTCCCAGGAAACTGCCGGTCTTGTTAGCATTGCACCCTGGCCCATGTTACAGTTTGACCCGATCTGTTCGGGAGACGACTTTTGCAGGCTGATCTCAACCACCCTACTCGGCCTCTCCTATATGATATCAGAGGATGTGTAGAAAATCATGCTCCAACGATTCGGCAACACGCGGCTCCAAGAACGCGTCACGATCCGACCTCCCTCCAACATAAAAAGCTCTGCACAGAGTAGCCCTCGCCTCGCCTAGCCTAGCGTGTTTGATCAAGGACAGGATCGGGTCGAAGCAGAGAGCTCGTTCTCGGCGGCACGCGGCAGCACAAGCTGATCGATCGGTCACGCCACCAACCGATGGCCGGCGGGAGGAAGCGGGAGTGGCTGAGGAAGAAGATGGCGACGGCGGTGGCCGGGACATCTGCGGGCGCGGGCGGCCAGCAGCAGTCGCCGCAGTGGGCGCTGCGCGTTCGCGCGCTATCGGCCGCGCTGCGCCGGCGGAGGCACGGGCAGGGGGCCGCCGCCGGCCTCCCGCGCGTCGACTTCCTCCGCCGCCTGTACGAGAGCGTCGTCTTCCACCTGCTGTGGGTGATCGAGTCCGCCGTCGTCCTCGCCACGCTCTGCTTCTTCTTCCTGCGCTTCGGCTTCCGCCTGTGACAACCATCGCCCAACGTCTGTGTCCGCGTTCTTGCCCTCAAAACGATGTACCACATCCCCCTTCTAATCTCCATCCAGCATGCGTGCAATCTAACTTGTAAATAAATACTGTACATACGCAAAAATAACGCGGTAATTATTCAGTCACCTATTACTATCACGTACAAATTCGACACTGTTTTTTTTTCTTTTATGTTTTGCCACTGAGATAATTATTGTCGTATTTTCTTACAATGTTTTCTTTTACGGTGAATTTGATTTTTGGTGAATCAAGCTAATAAACCAAATACCAAAATTTTACCATCGCAGGAGACAACACACAGATTAAGATTAACATATACTCCTCTGTAACTGCTAGCAGTACTAAATTAAGATTTTGTAAGAGCACCTAGGACAAGACGCAACTTACAAAAGGGAGACAAGAAAATTGTTCAGACGATACATAGGAGGAGTCAAAGCCACCCTAAAACTATTCAACTACTCAGAAAACCGCTGTGATGGTGTCCTCGCTACATCCCGACTTGTGACATAGTGATTTGTGCTTGACCATCCGAAGATCCGCTGTGCCAGGCAAGACATTGACACCACGGACAACCTCCACACCGGTCAGGACAGTAACATTCTGGCAATCATCCATGTCGGTGCGAAAGAACCTCCCGATGCAGAACATGCCAGAGCCAAGGCTGACAAGTTGAGGATCCTGTACCTGCTGCCATCCCTTGGGTGGCTCAAGTTCCTTCCAAGAGTTCAGGAGATGTGGCTGGGAACGGGAATCCATGGCGGAGAGGTCGGCAGCAGCCAGGTTCTGGTCCTCGGCAGTGAAGCCAAACCAGAGCTTGAGCTCAGGTGCGTAGTGAACTTCACCTTGGAAGGGCAAGGTCCACTTGCCCACTTCACTCCAGCAATAGGTGTTGCTCACGGCGGCCAAGCAGTAGGTGCCATCACCATCCACGGATATGCAGACCTGAGAGCCGACAACACCGTAGGAGCTGATTTCTAGACAGCTGTGACCGGAGCCACCAACGTGTGGCGGCAGCGGCGGGAGCAGATCGCAGTGCCATGTCTTGGACAGGAACCCACCGAACGAGGGCTTGCGGTAAACCAAGGCCTCAAACTGAAAGCCGCCACCGCCGTCGCTGACACCCCCGGGCTCTGGCTTGGCAACCCTCCTGTCCATGATGAAAAGGTTGCCGCCGCCGCCGCCGTCGAGGTCATCGAAATCAGGCCCGGCGCAAGGGATGTAGAGGGAGATGGGTTCCAGCTTGGGTCTGTGGAGGCAAGGCATCATCACCATGCGGGGCGTGTCCGCCTCCAGGAGGAACCCGCGCCCTAGCTGGTCCAAGCAGAACGCCCTCTGATCCGCCGCAGCCGGGAAGAAGTGAACCCGTTGGTCCTTGAGATCGGAATCTGATGTCCGCATGCTGAGGCTGGGGCTGGGAAGCCGAATCTTGTTCAAAGCCAGGGCGTTTCCTTTGGGTGCTGGCGTTGTTGTGTTGAACAACTTGTGTCGCCTCAGATCAATGGAGCACAGCGATTTGGCTCCCTGGATGCGGTTGTCCACGATCAGATTCAGAAACCGACGCGAGAGGCCCATCGTCGGTGGATTCAGTCGTCAACTTCAAAGACATCGAAAAAAACAAATCATTACGGATAAGAGGTGGAACAAGAAAAGATTTTTTCCCACCCCGTTCCGAGAGGAAATCTCGTCTGCTTGAGTATTAGCTGCCTAGCCTAGATCTAGCTCTTGTGAGGAACGAAGGAAGAGTACCTACCACCACCAGCAGCAGAAGCAGGCAGCAGCAACCAAGCACCTTCCTTCTGCTGTCTTTCCTTGTGAGCGATCCAGCCAGGTAGCAGCAGCCCGCAGCGATACCTTTACAAGAAGATAACGATGTTAAGGAGAAAAGGGAAGGATTCTGACCACAGAGGATGAAGATGAAGCAGATCTGCAGGCTGCTGCTGACCTGTGGCCGCTGGAGAATGGAGGCGACGGTGCGGAGCTTCTGAAACCAGATCGGAGCAGAATGGGAGCGGAGCGGCGGCGGGGGTGGGCGTCGCGAGATAGGTCTGGAGTCTGGACGGTCATGCGTGGGGATATTTTACAGGAACCTTCTGGGCTGTTCGTGGGCTATTTTCTCCGAGGAAGCATGGGCCGCTTCTCAGGAGCCAGCCTATGACTAGACCGGCTAAATTAAGTGCTGATGGGTCAATCTCGTCAATTGGTGCTGGCGAGATGTTTTCGTTTCCCCGATGGAAGGACGTTCACGACTCAACTCCGTAACTCCCTGCCGTGGAGATGTAAATCTCGCATCCCGAAAAATCAAAGATTTTTAATTTCCGTCATAAATATTAATATTTTGTTAAATATATTTGGTCAAACTTATAAGTTGTTGATTTTTTGAGAAAGCGAGAATAACTATTTTTTAGAGACGGAGAGAGTATATATCAACCTAAATGCTAGATTTCAGGCGCACGCGTTAGGGCGTGTTTGGCTGTAGGAACTAAAGTTTAATAGGTGTCACGTCGGATGTTACCTGAAGTGTTCGGCTAATAAAAAAACAAATTATAGATTCCGTAGTAAAACTGTAAGACGAATTTATTGAGACTAATTAATCTGTCATCGGCACTTTTTACTGTCTGGAGTCCATGCGTGGGGGATATTTTACAGAACCTTGTGGGCTGTTCGTGGGCTATTTTCTCTGAGGAGGCCATGGGCCGCTTCTCAGGAGCCAGCCTATGACTAGACCGGCTTAAATTAAGCGCTGATGGGTCAATCTCGTCAATCGGTGCTGGCGAGATGTTTTCGTTTCCCTGATGGAAGGACGTTCACGACTCAAATTACAAACCGATATCGCTACTATGCGGGTGATCGACCGACCGCGCTTCGCCTGTCTGCTCGACTCCCTCCCATTCTGTCCCGTGACTGCACCTCCACTCTCTCGCTACTGGCACGCAACGCTCGCGCGCTGCCGCCCCTCCCTCCCTCCAATCCTCCCTCCATGACCTCCATGCCATCGGAGAGGAGGGCGAGGGCGACTGCTTCCAGAGTGCAGCCTCTCCCTCCCTACCTTCCTCCACGACCTCTATGCCACCGGAGAGGAAGGCGACGACGGCTTCCGGTGAGCCGCCCCTTCCTCCTCCTCCCTCCCTCCTCCGCGACCTCCATGCCACCGGAGAGGAGGGTGAAGGCGACGGCTTCCGGCAAGGTAGGTGGGTCCTTCTCTAGATCTGAACTCTCTTCCTTCACCTCCTCCTCCTCCTCCTCCTCCGGATCTGGATCTGAAGGACGCCGCGGTGGCTAGGGTTTCGGCGAGCTCTGTTGTAGTAGCCTTGTTTTGCTGTTGCAACAAGTAATATTCCTTTGTTGTATTAGTCTTTTTTTTCTGATGTTGCATCTCGTATTGCGCTTTGTTTCTGTTGTTGCAGTATCGTTGTTTTGCTTTTGCAACAAGTATTTTTTCCTTGTTGTATTAGTCTTTTTTTAGGTTGCATCTTTGCATTGTGTTTTGTTTCTTGTTGTTGCAGTAGCTTTGTTTTGCTGTTGCAACAAGTAATTTTTCTTTGTTGTATTAGTATTTTTTTCTAATGTTGATTTCTCGCATTTGCGCTTTTGTTCTGTTTTTGTTGCAGTAGCCTTTATTACGGTGTTGCAACAAGTAATATTTCTTTGTTTGTATTAGTTTCTTTTTTCTGATGTTGCATCTCGTATTGCAGTAACTTTGTTCTATTATTGCAGTCGCTTTGTTCTAATGTTGCAATAGACTTGTTCTGATGTTGCATCTCGTATTACGCTTTGTTTGATGTTGCAAACAAGTAATACTTCTGATGGGAGCGCGGTGAGGATACGACGCACCTAGCGTGGGCGCGACGGGGGGATGGGCGGCGCGACAGGATGGCGGGGGACGGGCGACGCGGTAGGATGGCGGGATGGCGGCGCTTGAGACAAAATGTGGCAGAAGCGCCCAAATTATATGGCCCACGTACACCTGTCATTGTCTTGAAGACCTCTGACTGTTATGCATGGGAACCAGATAATTTCGATAGTCTGTCGGGTGTCCTCGGAGAACCCCGAATCATCTACGTTTCAACTTTTCGTAGGATCATTATAGAAGACATTGCAGTATTACAACAATTGTTACAAATATATTACATCAGAGTTAAAGAGCGGAAGTATTATAAACCATAAGTTTACAACCATTTATTTAAGTCTGACAAACCATAAGTTTTTGCCTTCTCCAACAAAGTAGGATAGCATGACTAACACAACTTTATTTATTACATAAGGTATCATCCTGCCCATGGATGAGAATACACACACATCTACTGCTAGCCATCATCTTTCAGAACCGACATACAACAGGGGCAAAAGCCTAACTGTTGTTGGGGTTCACCTGCAGCAGGGGTTAACAAACCCTGAGTACTGAATTATACTCCGCAAGACTTACCCGACCAAAGGAAAAGACTCCAAGGGTATGCAAGCTTGAGGGATTCAAGGTAAGGTCTTCGCAAGAATCAAGATTAACATTTGCGTAAAGGCTTACTAGAGTGGATCCTTACTTTCAATATTTTAGCTTAACATTATGTCGTTATTAGTATCCAATTTGCACCTGATCTAAATCAAACACTTTATAGATCATCTCATCATGTGATCATCAGTAACTAAGTTCCATTGATTAACTACGATGAGTGGTCTGAGGATCGGGTAAATAGGTTATTTATTCACAAAACAAGTTTCATCAGTAACTCATAGTTCACTTGTTAAATCAAACACTTTCCTTCACGATGTAAATAGGTTATTTATTCACAAAACAAGTTTCAATTATTATTTAACAAGTGAACTATGAGTACATCAAGCAATTGAATAAAATGTCAAGGAACATCAAGAGTTTAGTGTTCCACGGTTTACAATCAACTCCCAAAACATACTCAAGTCATATCGTGATTTATCCTAATCATTTTGGATATTTATGAATTATTTATTTAAAGCATGGAATTAAGTGGATAATTAAAAACTATCAAAATAGCACCAAACTTTTTGTGGAGGTTGTTTATATTATAAAACAGTGACAAAACAAATTTCATAAATTTTTGACATTTATTTTGGCCTACAAAAATTATAGAAGTTGCATTTCTTAATTAAAAGAGGTAATTTTATCTCATGCCAAAACTATTCAAATTCTAGGTTTCATATTTTTCCTAGGTAGACATCATCACAGAGAAGCTACACAAAATGTTTCATAATATTGTAGCTCTAATTATTTTGTTATGAAATAAACAAGTTTTAGCACTATTTAAACATTTATGGAAAAAGAGAATTCATTTTTCGTTCACTGCTGTCGCTGACAGGGTGACCCCACTGGTCAGCTCGAGCTGACCACGGCGACTCTGGCCGTTGACCGGCGATATCTCGCCGGTGGCGAGGTCTCCGGTGGTCGGACTTGTCCCTATCGACTCATCTCGACTCCCCGCATCGACTGGTGGTGACGGTTGAACCTGACATGAACGGCGGCGAGCACAGCGGCGGCTATGGCGGCTCGGCGGCACGGTGGAGCTACGAACACGGCTAACGGCGAGGTCAGCAGCGTCGGAGAAGCTACGCGAAGCATCACCGAGCTCAGGCGAACATGTTAGACTAGCTATTTAAGAGAGTTAGGCTCACGACGAGCTCGGCCAAGTGTGAGGCGGCACGGCGGAGCAGAGCTCGCCGGTGAGCACACGGTCCGGCGAACTGGGGCGGCCAAAAGATAAACGGCTTAGCTTTTTAGCATCACGGGATCAAGGCAATCTCAGAACCGAAGACGGTTGAAAGAAGAGCTCACCGGAGCGAGCTGACCACGGCAAGGCGAGCTCGGCGGCGCTGCGGTCGGCTGAGGAGAAGACGGCGGCGTATGGCCGATCCCGGTGGGGAGATGAGGCACAAGCAGGCTCAGCGTGCGCGCAAGGGCGAGGCTAATTTGCATGCACGGGCAATTGGGCTGAGAGCAACCGGTAGAGGCGAATTCGGCAGACGAAGCAAACTCGACGGCGGCGGCGAGGAGAAAGAAAAGAAGGGCACGGCGGCCAGCACAGCGTTATATAGGCGAGGGCGCGGCATGAGCAAGTTCCAGCAGCTGCAGGACGTGGCCGACGCGAAGCAACTGGGCGCCACGCGCAGGAAGTGACGAGAAGGTCGTCGGCGGTGAGACAGCAGGAAGGCTGCTCGCCTGATTCATTGTAGCTACTAAAACCACCTCATTCTCCTCTCCTTTTCAAATTACTTCAAAAAAAAAGAATCAAATAGAAATTTCAAAATCTTCCAACATGAAAGCTGTTCAAAATTAAAAAATCTACAACTTTCATTTTTGAACCAACTCCAAATTCCAATTAGTTTTGAAAGTAGGATTTTGAATTTGGGGATTTGAGTTTAGGGTTAATAAATAATTTATTTACAAATTTGGTATTCAATTAGTGAATAATTACTATTCAAACAACTCAATCAGTTATACAATTTCAAAGCACAAATTTTGTACCAATTCATGAAATAAAGGTTGCACAAGTCTTATTCATGAAATTTATTTTAATAATTCCTCCCAAAAATTTTGAATTCAAAATCGA